AAAAAAAAAAAAAAAAAAAAAAAATTTTTTTTTTTTTTAACTTAAAAAAAAAAAAAAAAAATGGTTTTAGTCTTTTTTTTTTTGAAAATTAAAAAAAAAAAAAAAAAAAGAGAAGATAGTTTTTTTTTTTCAGAAAAAAAAAAAAAAAAAAAAAAGATAGAATAATTTTTTTTTTTTCTACCATAAAAAAAAAAAAAAAAAAGCCAAGTATTGTTTTTTTTTTTAGTACCTAAAAAAAAAAAAAAAAAAGGAATAATCTTTTTTTTTTTTTTTACGCCAAAAAAAAAAAAAAAAAATTAAAGCTTAATTTTTTTTTTTAGGTCACAAAAAAAAAAAAAAAAAAAGCCAGGACTTTTTTTTTTTTTCTCTGGCAAAAAAAAAAAAAAAAAACTTGGCTGTATTTTTTTTTTTTGTTTACAAAAAAAAAAAAAAAAAAAATTGCTGTTTTTTTTTTTTTTTGTTAAGTAAAAAAAAAAAAAAAAAATTTCCCTCTATTTTTTTTTTTTTACTGCCAAAAAAAAAAAAAAAAAACTTTATCATGATTTTTTTTTTTGACTAGTAAAAAAAAAAAAAAAAAAGTGTGTATATATTTTTTTTTTTATCCCGGAAAAAAAAAAAAAAAAAATATTGTCAATATTTTTTTTTTTTGTTCTGAAAAAAAAAAAAAAAAAATTAATTCCTGGTTTTTTTTTTTATAATGGAAAAAAAAAAAAAAAAAAGGATTCTACTTTTTTTTTTTTTTACTCATAAAAAAAAAAAAAAAAAATATTGGTTGTCTTTTTTTTTTTGTGGAAGAAAAAAAAAAAAAAAAAATTTTCGGCCTCTTTTTTTTTTTGAGAAATAAAAAAAAAAAAAAAAAATTCTTGCCAATTTTTTTTTTTTGTTAAAGAAAAAAAAAAAAAAAAAAGTGACTGACTTTTTTTTTTTTTCTGCTGCAAAAAAAAAAAAAAAAAAGTGCTTTGGAGTTTTTTTTTTTAAATTAGAAAAAAAAAAAAAAAAAATTATACTAGAGTTTTTTTTTTTACCTAATAAAAAAAAAAAAAAAAAAAAGGTTGTTTATTTTTTTTTTTTTTATAAAAAAAAAAAAAAAAAAAATGACAGATGTCTTTTTTTTTTTAATTAGCAAAAAAAAAAAAAAAAAAATATACAAAGATTTTTTTTTTTAAAATGAAAAAAAAAAAAAAAAAAATGCCTCAAAATTTTTTTTTTTTCACAGTGAAAAAAAAAAAAAAAAAATATTTATATAATTTTTTTTTTTTACTCTGAAAAAAAAAAAAAAAAAATGTAGAAGTATTTTTTTTTTTTTTGGTGAAAAAAAAAAAAAAAAAAAAGTGCCAAAAATTTTTTTTTTTTTTGCACAAAAAAAAAAAAAAAAAAATGCTTGGTTGTTTTTTTTTTTGAAGAGTAAAAAAAAAAAAAAAAAAGATGGACTCTATTTTTTTTTTTTTAAGCAAAAAAAAAAAAAAAAAAAATTTAATTTATTTTTTTTTTTTGCCTTTGAAAAAAAAAAAAAAAAAATTCTTATGCCTTTTTTTTTTTTTAGCTTAAAAAAAAAAAAAAAAAAAAAACATATGATTTTTTTTTTTTCATTCCTAAAAAAAAAAAAAAAAAATAATAGTCTCCTTTTTTTTTTTGGTCATTAAAAAAAAAAAAAAAAAATTCCTTTTTATTTTTTTTTTTTATTCCGCAAAAAAAAAAAAAAAAAATTTCTTTATCCTTTTTTTTTTTGGGCATTAAAAAAAAAAAAAAAAAATTGCAGTTGTGTTTTTTTTTTTTATAAACAAAAAAAAAAAAAAAAAATTTTCACATAATTTTTTTTTTTCCTCTGAAAAAAAAAAAAAAAAAAAGATTGCTGTATTTTTTTTTTTTTCTACTTAAAAAAAAAAAAAAAAAATCCACATTGTTTTTTTTTTTTTCGAGGGAAAAAAAAAAAAAAAAAAAGCAGTGTATACTTTTTTTTTTTTGCGTGCAAAAAAAAAAAAAAAAAAACCACTAAACATTTTTTTTTTTTAACCAAAAAAAAAAAAAAAAAAAAGACAATAACTTTTTTTTTTTTTAAATTAAAAAAAAAAAAAAAAAAAAAATTCATAATTTTTTTTTTTTTGAAAGGAAAAAAAAAAAAAAAAAAAGCAATCTAGGTTTTTTTTTTTTGGAGAATAAAAAAAAAAAAAAAAAAGACTCTTTGCCTTTTTTTTTTTCTGGCGCAAAAAAAAAAAAAAAAAATGGAGGAGAGATTTTTTTTTTTAATTAAAAAAAAAAAAAAAAAAAAAACATACTTATATTTTTTTTTTTTTGTTTAAAAAAAAAAAAAAAAAAAGGAGAGGTCATTTTTTTTTTTTTGGTAAAAAAAAAAAAAAAAAAAAACCAAATTTAACTTTTTTTTTTTATACAAAAAAAAAAAAAAAAAAAAATTCAAATACTTTTTTTTTTTTTCTGCTCCAAAAAAAAAAAAAAAAAATGGAAACTAAATTTTTTTTTTTAGAGAAGAAAAAAAAAAAAAAAAAAGGAGTTATTCCTTTTTTTTTTTGTGCTATAAAAAAAAAAAAAAAAAAAACTGAACATATTTTTTTTTTTTGCTATCAAAAAAAAAAAAAAAAAAGCTGGATGATTTTTTTTTTTTTAAGTTAAAAAAAAAAAAAAAAAAAATTTGGACTTGTTTTTTTTTTTTTTATTAGAAAAAAAAAAAAAAAAAATTCAGTTTCTTTTTTTTTTTTTACTCCTCAAAAAAAAAAAAAAAAAAGAACATTAAGTTTTTTTTTTTTGCAAGTGAAAAAAAAAAAAAAAAAAAGCAAAAACTTTTTTTTTTTTTTACATGTAAAAAAAAAAAAAAAAAAAATTGAAATACTTTTTTTTTTTAGAACTGAAAAAAAAAAAAAAAAAATCAGCATTAATTTTTTTTTTTTCTTAAGAAAAAAAAAAAAAAAAAAAGAAGTTTTGCATTTTTTTTTTTCCAAAATAAAAAAAAAAAAAAAAAATTGTTTTTCTGTTTTTTTTTTTCCTAGATAAAAAAAAAAAAAAAAAAAACAGCATCACTTTTTTTTTTTACTGCCAAAAAAAAAAAAAAAAAAAGTCAACTGTGTTTTTTTTTTTTAAAAGCAAAAAAAAAAAAAAAAAAAAGCCCAGCCTTTTTTTTTTTTTTGTGGTTAAAAAAAAAAAAAAAAAAGATAATGGAATTTTTTTTTTTTTACAGTAAAAAAAAAAAAA